CACTATCCATCCATCCATCCACACATCATCTATCCATCCATCCATCCACACCCCATCCATCTATTCACACACTATCCATCCATCCATCCATCCACACACCATCTATCCATCCATCCATCCATCCATACACCATCTATCCATCCACACACTATCCATCCATCCATCCATCCATCCACACATCATCTATCCATCCATCCATCCACACACCATCTATCCATCCCTTACACAGAAATATACCAGTCCATCTCCACACACACCCTCCACATACCCCACAGAAGCAGACCACACAGTGGCCACTTATCCCAGCCCCCGGCCCAGCACTGACCTGGCTGGTGCAGGCGCTCCACAGGTACACGCAGGTCCCCAGCCCCACGCTGAGCACGTTGAGGGAGGACCAATCCACCAGGTTCAGGTAGAAGTCGTCCTGGAGCTCGGGAGCGTCCAGGACCTTGAAGGGGATTTTGGAGATTTTGCGAGTGGGTTTCCGGGGAGACCTCAGCAACTTCTGACTGTGGGGAGAACCAGAGACGGGGACGTCACAGTGCTGGACCCTGTACCCTCTGCTGGTATGAGGGGCTCTTCCAGGGTCGCACTCATGACCACCAGCAGACCTGCTCTGAGAGTCACCCTGTGCCCAGAAGGCCTGGTGTCCTGTGGGGTTCTGTTTCACATTCCACTGCATCTCCCCGTAGACTCTCCCACACAGACTGGGCTTCTCCACTGTACCACCCCAGTCTGGCCGCCTGGAATTTCTGGCACCTTCTATCATCAGCTATGGCTCCTGCAGAGCTGAAGCCGCCAGGACCCAGAGGGGCAGAGCTGGTCTCCGCAGGCTGCCTGGCATCTGTCCCGAGAACCCCCAGTGGCCTGCCTGGGGACCTCACCTCTTGTTGCTGACGGGGGACAAGGAATATGGGGACACCTCGTTGCCGTCGTCCGGGCTGGAGCGCTTCGTGCTGAGGGAGTACTGGTGGGGACAGGCATGTGATGAGTGTCCCCCACCCCACCTCGTGCTCCCTGCCCCCGCACCCACACACCCCCGGAGTCTGACCGTGAAGAGGCTCTTCCTCTCCGGCGTGGAGGGCTGCAGCCGGCGGTCCTCGGTCTGTGGGTCCTGCACCTTCTCGATGCCGGCCCCCAGCAGCTCATTCTTCAGCAGGGCCGAGTAGGCCAGGCCATCTGTGGGCACAGGAGGGTCAGGGGCACTCTGGGGCACAGGGGAGCCCATGGGGGACCCGGCACCTCACCTTTGCCGTTGTCTGAAGTGGCGTCCTTGGCTTTGCGGTTCTGACTGGGCGACTTATCATTTTCCTGTGGACAAGGGAGAGGGGCAGGTGAGGCTCAGAAGCTGGTGCTCCCACCCCAGGAGGACGTCTGCAGGCCCCCAGCCCTGGCCCTCACGTTGATCCTATGGAAGTTCACGCTCCAGTTGGCCCCAGCCCGAGATGGGATGAAGCGGTCTCCATGCTTGCTAGGTGACGACACTGGGGAGTTGGCGGGTGTCAGTGTGCGCCGCATCTCTGCAACCTGCAGAGGGGCAGAGCCTGTGCTAAATGCAGTTGCTTTACCCCTGACCCCGTGCCACCCAGCCTGCCGCCTCTGCCCTCTGACAGTATGGTGCTATGAGCAAAGTCCACCATCTCAGAAGACTGGTTTGGGGTCTTGGAGGGTAGCCCCAGCCTCCATGGAGGCATGCACCATAGGGGGAGCAGTGCACACACGTGGGTGGGCGAGGCCACAACACACAGACAGATGGGCAGACAGCTGCGAGGCAAGGTAGGTTGGGCTACACACACACCTATACCCCACAAATGCCACATGCAGGTGTCTCCAGGCTGCCTCCCTTTCCCTGGGGCTGCACCGCCACCCGCCCGCCTGGAAAGCGGGCAGACGTGGCCCTGCAGTCAGCAGAGTGGCTGAGGGCACCCGGGTCTGCAGGCGCGGTACCTACACCCGGCATGGTGTTCTCATTCTGGATGACAATCTGCCGCAGCAGGCGTCTCTCGTAGTCCTGGTCCATGGCGGGGCTGGGTGAGCAGCCTGTCCAGCACACAGGGCCAAGGGCCCCGCCTGCGCTTTGTCTACACGAATCCTCAAGTCAGAGGCACCTGCGTCTGTAAATAAAGGCTTATCAGCACACCGCTCCGGCCACTCCTGAACGTTCCATCTGTGGCGACTTTTCATGCTTGAGGACAGAGAGTCCGGGGCAGAGGAGCCACAGCATTTACTGTGGAGCACCATCTGCACAGCCCACATCACCTGCTCCACCAGGTGAGAGACAAGTCTGTGTCATTTCCGAGCATACCTGCTCAGAGCCCAAGACCCAAGCCATGGTCTTCCCCAACGGCTTCATGTGCAAGCCGCAGGAAACTGGTGCTCTGGGTGACAAGCATAAAGGGTGACCACCACCAGCATGCACCCAAGGAGAATGCTCAGAAGGCAGGACAGGGCAGGAAGGTGGAGGACTGGAAACGGGAAACAGAGAGGAGGCGAGAAGAGCTCTGTCGCACTGAAGGGATTGTAATCAGGACCAGGAGACACAATGACAGGTGTGACCTGAATGGAAATCTGCCCTGCTCTGCAAGTTCACCCAAACCACAATAAAAAGTTTCTGTAAAAGGCGGAAAGGCAGACTGCTGGGGTGTTGGTGGAGGGGACGGCTGTAGAAGGCACAGGCAGGACACGCTACCGACACTCCCCGGCACCTGCAGGAGCCCCCCAGCCCGGCCAGCCCCTTCCCTGGAGGCAGTAGACCTCCAGCTGAAAGGCGTTTGCTGCTGCTGAGTTGGCCCTGCGCCATCCCCACGTGACCCACGGCACTCTCACCAGTTGATTTTCAGAATGACCCATCTTTCTTCCTACTCTACCTGGGTCTGGAAGCTCTGCGGAAACCTGTTCACTGTCAAAGCAGTGCTTGGTCAGTGTCACACCAGGAGGTGAGAACTGTACCCATGAGCCAGAGCGGCCCACCAGAGAGCAGGGATCTCTTCTGGTGTGTGAATGTGTCTGTGTGAGGTGCTGAGAGCGTCTCCAGAGACCTTCTCTGCACCAGTCTGAGGGCATCCCAGGTCTGTCAGGAACATACTGGGTATTCATTCATGGGGCCACCCTCCCGTCCTGGGATCTCCGGGCCCAGACAGGCATGCGCTCATGGTGTAGGGAGGGAGGCAGGTAGAACCTGCATTGAGGCAGCACATGTACTCCCGGGAAGCAACCTTAGTAAGTGGTACCCTAGTTGGTCACACGGCTAAGGGCAAGATGGACAGGGAGTACTGATGGTGGTGTGTACCCCAACACAGCTGGAGTTACCACAAAACCCAGTTCCATGAGCTGGGCCCCGCCATGTCTTCTGTGGATCCAAAGAGCCGGCTCCGGAGGGCACAACCAGAATGGGCTTGGGAGGGGCGGCCCGTTCTGCAGACCCAGAGGGGAATCGCTCTCATATTTGTGAACTTGCAACCCTAGGTTAGACTGAACTGTGCCCCCCAGAAACGTGTACATTGTAAATCCTAACCCCTATAAGCACTGGGCTGCTATCCGCAGGGTCGGCAGTTCAAACCCACTAGCAGCGGGTTTCTCTCCAGCGGAGAAAGGTGAGACAGTCTGTTCCCATAAAGACTGAGTCTCAGAAACCCTATGGGGCAGGCAGGTCTCCTCTGTCCTATAGGGTTCTGTGTATGCCTATGGTTATGTTCCCCTTAGGGAATAGGTTTTCTTTGTTAAGTTCATGAAACAAGATTAGTGTAGGGTTCATGTTCAGCCAAGCTCTTTTGAGATACAGTAAAAGCCACAACCTGTGGAAGGTGGAAACCTGTCGGAGAGGAAAACGCAAATTTTTTCCATTACAATGAATGATGGGAAATGGTAAGGCTGCACCCTGTCAAAGGCGGAAAAACAAGGCAGTGCTGTTGGGTTCTGGCTCTTGTGGGTTTCACCGAATTCAGGAGACAAAGCCAGGACAAGGGGAAAGAGGTGCTGAGTCACACGAAGATGACCTGGGGGGGGGGGGCAGCAGCTCTGAAGAGACAAGGACCGAGATGGTCCCAGAACCAACACTGAGAAAGCCTTCCTCTAGAGCCGCTCCCGGAACGTGTACTTGCCTCCTAAACTGAGAGAATAAACGTCTACTTATTAGAGCGCATCCCGTACTGTTCCTGGCAGAGCCGCGCGGTACAGCAAAACCGAGATGGGTGAAGACCAGGGAAGAGTCGATGCATTTGTTTTACAGTGTTGGCAAGATATTGAAAGTACCACAGACAGCCAGAAGGACAAACAATTCTGCCTTGGAAATAAAAGCAGCCGGATTGCTCCTAGAAGGAAGCGTGGCGAGACTCTGTCTCTCATTCTTAATCAGGTGAGTCCGCAAAAACGAAGAAAACCCTCAACCAGATGGATTAACAAGACGGCAGCAAGAATGGGCTCAAACAACAATTGTGAGGGTGGCCCATGATCGGGCAGGGTTTCCATCTGTTGTACAGAGAGTGGCTATGAGTTGGAACTGACTTCACAGCACCTAACGACAAACAGGCAACAAGACACCCAGAACCTCAGTAGCCCCACCTCCCACACACGGGGAGGTTCCCATAGCAGGTTCAGCCGCACCCAGGTCTTCTCTTTAGGAATTAGGAATAGAGCTAGACAACCCGGAGACAGAGACGAGGAAGGGCTGGCTGGTCTGAAGTGTGGTGAGACCTGGGGACTCCTAAGCCCATGGACAAGGACATAGCCACAGAGGGCTAGAGCTGAGAGTGAAGTGTCCAGCCGATATGAAGTGAGGGGAGATGCACAAGAACACTCAAAATTGCAGCTAGTACTCATTTGACCTAGCCTCAATGGCTTAATAATCAGAACTCGACTAGAGGAAGATTAAAAAAAAATTTTTTTTGATAAATGACACAAGTGTAAATTGTTACGATTTGATGAACTTGACCTATACTTATGGATGTATTAACTCAAAATACCAACTGAGAGGGAAGGAGTCTTCACATTAAGTATCAATCCTATTCCTTCTGTACACAGGGCAGATAAAGACGGGAAACTTAATCATTGGCTACCTAAAATGGGGGGTCTATAAAGACATGAAATGACTGGCTTACAAGTTTTCAAGAGGGAGTTTAGTTTAAGAGTGGGCAGGGGAAGGTAGAATCCCCACTGAATAGTTTCCATCCTGTCTAGACAGTGTGGTGAAAGGAGATGGGAATAAGATTCTTATGATTAAATATTGAGTAATTGTGACTGTCACAATTGTAAAGATAGAAGTTCTGTAACAAAAAGGGGTGTGTGTGTGGGGGGGGGGGGAAGAGTAGTTAATCTTACAGTCCCGGAACAGACAACCCTAGGACTATCAGGGGAGAAGAGCAAGAGCAGAATGTGGGACCTTATCCAGAGAAACAGCGACACCAGAGATGGAGGTAGAGATGAGGACTCTAGATTCATGGAAAGAAAAAGGCTGTGTGCTGGTGGGCAGGAGGCAGACTTGCCCTTTGGTTGTTTAAATTATTATATATTCCTGAGTGTTTTTTGGGTACATCCTTGCCCCCCGCCCGGAAAAACAAACAACCCAGAGGACATGGAAGCAAATCCTGTTAAATGATGATGCATGCAGGGGATTATAATCACTGCAATGAAACAATGAGTTTAAAACCAACACATTCTCCCATGTAAACTATCATGCAATTCACAATAAAAACTTATTTAAAAAAAAAAAAAATATATATATATATACATATATATATATATGTTGTTGTTGTTGTTATGTGCCGTGGAGTCGGAACCGACTCATAGCGACCCTGTACAGGGTTTCCGAGGGTGTAAATCTTTACGGGAGTAGAAAGCCTCATCTTTCTCCCGCGGAGCAGCTGGTAGTTTCGAACTGCTGACCTTGCGGTTCACAGCCCGAGTCGTAACCACTACGCTACCAGAGCTCCATATATATATATATATATGAAGAATGGAGACAGAGAGATGCTACAAGGAACCCACCAGGACCTCCCAGGGAAAGCTCAACTAGTGCATTCAATCAGCCCCAGTGAACAGAACTCCCAGAAACCCACTCCCGTCTGCCCTGGGGACTGCCCTGGGGGCTCGACTGGTCTCAGAGAGCTGAGCAGGTCCAGGGGAGGAAGAGTCTCCATGCATGGGTGCTGTCAGGAGCAGATGCCTGCTTCAGAGACCCCCGGCCCACGCCTCCAGACTGTGCTCGTCTCCACCGAGGGCAATGGGACAGTGTCCGCAAGCAGAGCCCCCCACAACACCTAGAAATGGGAAATATATCTGTCACCCATAAAGAACCCCCAGCTGCCAGGGAGCCAACCCAACTCCCCGTGGTCCCACAGAGTCAGAACGGACCTGGGCTCCCCAGGTATCAATGGCTGAATTCTGAAAGCACCTCTGGGTGGGTTCAAACTACCCACCTTTCAGTGAGTTTGCACCAGATCCATCCTCAAAAAAACCAACCCAATTTCTCCTCGTGGCAGGTTCCTGTGTGGCAGAGAAAAACTGGACTTCATAGAGTTTCAGTACCTCATTGTTCACACCTTTCTTCTGAGGTACCGGTGAGTGAACTCAAACCTCTAGCCTCTTAGGGAACAGCCGAGTGTGTCCACTGCTCCACTGGGAACTTCTGGCCACAGAGGTGGTGGTGGTAGTAGTTGAGAGCCTTCAAGTCGGTTCTGACTCATCGCAACCCTGTATAGGGTTTCCAAGGCTGGAAATCTTTCTGGGAGCAGAGAGCCTCATTTTCCACCAGTGGAGCAGTGGTGGATTCAGACTACTGACCCTGTGTTTAATATTAATAGCCCACCGGGTAACCAGGCCTCCTTCAGCCACAGAGGAGAGACAGGCAAAGCTCCAGAAAAGGACACTGAGTCCGTTACCACTCAGGGAGCTGCGCCTGGATGAAACAAGTCTCCATCTACAGATGGCTGAGGTTCCAACAGGCAGACATTGCCCCCGTGTGGCCAAGGCGCGGGAAGACATGGTGGGCAGGAGCCAACTGGGCTGCTTTCAAATTCAAAGGGCT